CACTGGGTGTGGAGTCAACAACTGATGTGCAGGCCACAACTGGGTGTGGAGGCAACTACTGGGTGTGGAGGTAACCATTGGGTGTGGGTCAGTAACTAGGTGTGGAGGCAACCAATGGGTGTGGAGGCAACCTCTGAATGTGGAGGCAAATGCTGGTGTTGGCGGTAAACATTGGATCTGGAGGTAACCACTGGGTGTGAAGGCAACCACTGGGTGTGGCGGCAACTAATAGATGTGGCGGCAACCACTGGGTGTGGAGGCAACCACTGGGTGTCGAGGCAACTATGGAGAGAGGGCAGTAACTGAATGTGGCGGCTACTACTGGGTGTGGAGGTAACCACTGGGTTTGGCGGCAACCATTGGGTATAGAGACAACCACTTGGTGTGGTGGCAACCACTGGGTGTGGAGGCAACCACTGGGTGTGGAGGCAACTAATGGGTGTGGAGGCAACCAATGGGTGTTGAGGCAACCACTGGGTGTGGAGGCCAATATAGGTGAAAGGGCAGTAACTGAATGTGGCGGCTACCACTGGGTGTGGAGGTAACCACTGGGTTTGGCGGCAACCATTGGGTATAGAGACAACCACTTGGTGTGGTGGCAACCACTGGGTGTGGAGGCATCCAAATAATGTGAGTACAGTAACTGGGTGTGGAGGCAGTAACTGGTTGTAGAGGCAACCACTGGGTGTGGAGGCAACTAATGGGTGTGGAGGCATCCACTAAGTGTGGGGACAGTAACTGGGTGTGGAGGCAGTAACTGGGTATGGAGGCAATCACAGGCTGTGGAGGCAACCATTGGGTGCGGAAGCACCAATTGGGTGCGGAAGCAACCACTGGGTGTGGACGCAACCACTGGAATTGATGGAAACCACTGAGTGTGGAGGCAACCACTGAGTGTGTAGGCAACCACTCGGTGTGATGGCAACCACTGTTTGTGGAGGCAACCACTGTTTGTGGAGGCAAACACTGGACTTGCCGGCAACCAATGGGTGTGGCGGCAACCACTGGATTTGGAGGCAAACACTCGGTCTGGAGGAAATAACTGGGTGTCGAGGCAACCACTTAGTGTGGAGTCAACAACTGATTCGAAGGCCACAACTGGGTGTGGAGGAAACAACTGGGTGTGGAGGAAACAACTGGGTGTGGAGGAAACAACTGGGTGTGGAGGCAACAACTGGGTGTGGAGGCAGAAACTGAGTGTGGCGGCTACCACTGGGTGTTGAGACAACCACTGGATGTGGAGGCAACCACTGGGTGTGGAGGAAAATGCTCGTGTTGGCGGCAACCTCTGGGTTTGGAGGCAAACTCTAGGTGTGGAAGCAACCACTGGATCTGTAGATAACCACTGAGTGTTAAGGCTACCACTGGATGTGGAGGCAACTACTGGGTGTGGAGGGATCCTCTACGTGTGGAGGCATCCATTGGGTCTAAAGGCAACCACTGGGTGTGAAGGCAACCAATGGATGTGGAAGCAACCACTGGGTGTGGTGGCAACCATTGAGTGTTGAGTCAACTATAGATGTGAGGGCAATAACTGGGTGTGAAGGCAATTACTGAGTGTGGAGGCAACAACTGGGTGTTGAGGGAACCACTGTGTGTGGAGGCAACCACTGGGTGTGGAGGCAACCACTGTGTGTGGAGGCAACCACTGGGAATGGAGGCAACTACTGGGAATGGGGGCAACCACTGGGAGTGTGGGCAACCACTGGGAGTGGAGACACCTACTGGGAATGGAGGCAACCACTGGGTGTGTGGTAACCACTGGTTGTGGAGGCAACCACTGGGTGTGGATGCAACCATTGTGTGTGGAGGCAACCACTGGGAATGGAGGCAACTACTGGGAATGGGGGCAACCACTGGGGTTTGGCAACCACTGGGGTTTGAGGCAACCACTGGGAGTGGAGACAACCAATGGGTGTGGAGGCAATCACTGGGTGTGGAGGCAACCACTGGGTGTGGAGGCAACCACTGGGTGTGGAGGCAACCACTGGGTGTGGAGGCAATTACTGGGTGTGGCGGCAGGCACTGAGTGTCGAGGCAACCAATGGGTCTGTAGGCAATAACTGGGTGTGGAGACAACCACTGGGTGTGGAGTCAACATCTGATGCGCAGGCAACAACTGGATGTGGAGTGCAAGAACTGGGTGTGGAGGCAACAACTGGGAGTCAAGGCAACAACTGAGTGTGGAGGCAACAGCTGCGTGTGGAGGGAACAACTGGGTGTGGAGGACACCAATGGGTGTGGAGGCAATAGGGAAATGTGGAGGCAACCTCTGGGTTTTGAGGCAACCACTGGGAGTGGAGGCAACCACTGGGTGTGGAGGACACCAATGGGTGTGGAGGCAATAGGTAAATGTGGAGGCAATCCCTGGGTTTTGAAGCAACCACTGGGTGTGGAGGCAACCACTGGGTGTGGAGGACACCAATGGGTGTGGAGGCAATAGGTAAATGTGGAGGCAACCCCTGGGTTTTGAGGCAACCACTGGGTGTGGAGGCAACCACAGGGTGAGGAGGCAACTACTGGGTGTGGAGGTAACCATTGTGTGAACTGAGGAAACCATTGGCAATAACTGAGTGTGGAGGCAACCATTGGGTGTGGATGTAACCAATGGGTGCAGAGGCAACCAACGGGTGTGGAGGTAAGAACTGGGTTTGGAAGCAATAACTGGGTGTGCCGGCAACCACTAGGTGTGGAGGCAAGCACTGGGTGTGGAGGCAACCACTGGGTGTTAAGGCAAGCACTGGGATGTTTGGGTAGTAACTCGGTATGGAGCCAACCACTGGGAATAGAGGTAACCACTGAGTATGTAGGAAACCACAGAGGGTGGAGACAACCACTGGGCTTTAGGTCAGTAACTAGGTGTGGAGGCAACCAATGGGTGTGGAGGCAACCACTGAATGTGGATTCAACCACTGGGTGTGAAGGCAACCACTGGGTGTGGAGGCAACCACTGGATCTGGAGGTAAGCACTGGATGTGAAGGCAACCACTGGATGTGGAGGCAACCTCTGGTTGTGGAGGCATCCACTGGGTCTGATGGCAACCACTATGTGTGAAGGCAATCAGTGGATGTGGAGGCAACTACTGGGTGTAGGGGCAGTTACAGGGTGTTGAGGAAACCACTGGGAGTGGAGGCAACCACTGGGTGTGGCGGCAACCACTGACGTGGAGGCAACCACTGGGTGTGGAGGCAACTATGGGTGAGAGGGCAGTAACTGAATGTGGCGGCTATCAATGGGTGTGGAGCAAACCACTGGGTTTGGCGGCAACCATTGGGTATAGAGGGAACCACATGGTGTGGAGTCATCCACTAAATGTGAGTTCAGTAACTGGGTGTGGAGGCAGTAACTGGTTGTGGAGGCAACCACTGGGTGTAGGGGCAGTAACTGGGTGTGGAGGCATCCTCTGGGTTTGGAGGAAACCACTAGGTGTGGTGGCATCCATTGAATGTGGGGATTTTAGCTGGGTGTGGAGCCAGTAACTGGGTTTGGAGGCAACCACTGGGCATGGAGGCAATAAATGGGTGTAGAGGCAACCACTGGGTGCAGAGGCAACCACTGGGTGTGGAGGCAACCACTGGGTGCAGAGGCAACCACTGGGTGTGGAGGCAACCTCTGGGTGTGTAGGCAATCACAGGGTCTGGAAGCAATAACAGGGTGTGGAGGCAACCACTGGGTGTGGAGTCAACAACTGATGTGCAGGCCACAACTGGGTGTGGAGGCAACTACTGGGTGTGGAGGTAACCATTGGGTGTGGGGGCAATAACTGTGTGTGGCGGCAACCACTGAGTGTGGAGGTAACCATTGGGTGTGGAAGCAACCACTGGGAGTGGAGGCAACCACTGGGTGTGGATTCAACCACTGGGTGAGGAGCGCACAACTGGGTGTGGAATGAACAACTGGGTGTGGAAGCAACATCTGGGTGTGGCGGACACCACTGGGTGTGGAGGCTTCCACAGGGTGTGGAGACAAGCACTAGGTGTGTCGGCAGGCACTGAGTGTGGGGTCAAACACTGGGTTTGGAAGCAATAAATGGGTGCGGAGTCAACAACTGATGCGCAGGCCACACCTGGGCGTGGAGTGCAAGATCTGGGTGTGGAGGCAACAACTGAGTGTGGAGGCAATAACTGGGTGTGGAGGCAATAACTGTGTGTGGAGGCAATCACTGGGTGTGGAGGCAACCACTGGGAGTGGAGGCAATCACTGGGTGTGGAGGCAACCACTAGGTGTTGGGGCAGTAACTGGGTGTGGAGGAAACCACTGGGTGTGGAGGCAACCACTGAGTGTGGATTCAACCACTGGGTATGGAGGCAACCACTGGGTGTGGAGCCAACCACTGTGTGTGGAGGCAACCACTATGTGTTGGGGCAGTAACTGGGTGTGGAGACAACCACTGGGTGTGGAGGCAACCACTGAGTGTGGATTCAACCACTGGGTATGGAGGCAACCACTGGGTGTGGAGCCAACCACTGTGTGTGGAGGCAACCACTAGGTGTTGGGGCAGTAACTGGATGTAGAGGCCACCAATGGGTGTGGAGGCAAACACTGGGTGTGGAGGCAATTACTGGGTGTGGCTGGAACCACTAAGTGTATTGGCAACTACTGGGTGTGGAGGCATCCACGATATGTGAGGGCAGTAACTGGGTGTGTCTGCAAACATAGGGTGTGGTGGCAACCACTGCGTGTGGAGGCAACCAGTGGGTGTAAAGGCAACCACTTAGTGTTAAGGCAACTACTGGTTGTGGAGGCATCCAATATGTGAGTGGCCATTAACTGGGTGTTAATGGCAGCAACCAATGGGTGTGGAGGCAACCACTGGGTGTGGAGGAAACCACTGGGTGTGGCGGCAACCAATGGGTGTGGAGGCAACCACTGAGTGTGTAGGCAACTACTGGGTGTGGAGGCAACCACTGGGTGTGAAGGCAACTACTGGAAGTGGAGGCGAACACTGGGTGTGGAGGCAACCACTTGGTATGGAGGCAACCACTGGTTGTTGAGGCATCTACTGGGTGTGGATGAAGCCACTGAGTGTGGCGGTAACCACTGGGTGTGGAGGCAACCACTCGGTGTGGGGGCAATAACTGGGTGTGGCGGCAACCACTGGATGTGGCGGCAGCCACTGGGTGTGGCGACAATCATTGGGTGTGGAGGCAACTCCTGGGTGTTGAGTCAACCACTGGGTGTAGCGGCAACCACTGGGTGTGGAGGCAAGTACTGAGTGTGGAGGCAACCACTGGGTCTGAAGGCAATAACTCGGTGTGGAGGCAACAACTAGGTGTGGAGGTAGCAACTAGGTGGGGTGGTAACCAATGGTTGGGGAGGAAACCAATGGGTGTGGAGGCAAGAACTGTGTGTTGATGGAACCACTGGGTGTGGAGGCAACTACTGGGTGTAGAGGAAGTTTCTGGGTGTGGAGGCAACCACTGGTTGTTAAGGCAACCACTGGGTGTGGAGGCAACTACTGGGTGTGGAGGCATCAATTGGGTGTGGAGGCAACCACTGGGTGTGGAGGCAACTACTGGAAGTGGAGGCGAACACTGGGTGTGGAGGCAATCACTGGGTGTTGGGGCAGTAACTGAGTTTGGAGGCATCCACTGGTTGTGGAGGCAACCACTAGGTATGGAGGCAACCACTAGGTGTGGAGGCAAAAACTGGGTGTGGCGGCAATCACTGAGTGTGGAGGCATCCACTGGCTGTGGAGGCAACCACTCGGTGTGGAGGCAATAACTGGGTGTGGAGGCAACCACTGGGTTTTGAGGCAACCACTGGGAGTAGAGGCAACCACTGGGTGTGGCGGCAACGACTGGGAGTTGAGGCAACCACTGGGAGTAGAGGCAACCACTGGGTGTGGAGGCAACGACTGGGTGTGGTGGCAACCACTGGGTGTGGTGGCAACCACTGAGTGTTGCGGCAACAACTGGGTGTGGTGGCAACCACTTGGTGAGGCGGCAACTACTGGGTGTGGAGCCAACCACTGGTTGTGGATGAGGCCACTGAGTGTGGCGGCAACCACTGGGTGTGGAGCCAACCACTGGTTGTGGATGAGGCCACTGAGTGTGGCGGCAACCACTGGGTGTGGAGGCAACCACTCAGTGTGGGGGGCAATAACTGGGTGTGGCGGCAACCACTGGATGTGGCGGCAACCACTGGGTGTGGCGACAACCATTGGGTGTGGAGGCAACCCCTGGGTGTTGAGTCAACCACTGGGTGTAGCGGCAACCACTGGGTGTGGAGGCAAGTACTGAGTGTGGAGGCAACCACTAGGTTTGGAGGCAATAACTCTGTGTGGAGGCAACAACTAGGTGTCGAGGGAAGAACTGGGTGTGGAGGCAAAAACTAGTTGTGGAGGAAAGAACTAGGTGTGGAAGTAGCAACTAGGTGGGGTGGAAACAAATGGTTGGGGAGGAAACCAATATGTGTTGAGGCAACAACTAAATGTGGAGGCAACCCCTGGGTGTGGAGGCAACCCCTGGGTGTGGAGGCAACCACTGTGTGTGGATGGAACCACTGGGTTTGGGGGCAGTAACTGGTGTAGTGGCAACCAATGGGTGTGAAGGCAACAATTGAGTGTGAAGGCAACCGCTGGGTGTGGAGGCAACCAGTGGGTGTAGAGGAAATTACTGGGTGTGGAGGCAACCACTGGTTGTTAAGGCAACCACTTGTTGTTAAGGCAACCACTGGGTGTGGAGGCAACTACTGGCTGTGGAGGCATCTATTGGATGTGGAGGCAACCACTGGGTGTGGAGGCAACTACAGGAAGTGGAGGCGAACACTGGGTGTGGAGGCAACCACTAGGTGTTGGGACAGTAACTGAGATTAGAGGCATCCATTGGTTGTGGAGGCAACAACTAGGTACGGAGGCAACCACTGGTTGTTGAGGCAACTACAGGGTGTTGAGGCAACTACAGGGTGTTGAGGCAACCACTGTGTGGAGGGGCAACCACTGAGTGTGAGGCAACCACTGGGTGTAGAGGCAATAACTGGGAGTGGTGGCAACCACTGGGAGTGGAGGCAACCACTGGGTGTGGAGGCAACCACTAGGTGTGGAGGCAACTACTGGGTCTAGAGGCAATAACTGGGTGGGGAGGCAACAACTGGGTGTGGAGGCAACAGCTGGATGGAGAGGCAACAAATGGGTGTGGAGGCAACAACTGGGAGTGGAGGCAGCAACTAGGTGTGGAGGCAACCAATGGGTGTGGAGGCAAGCACTTGGTGTGGCTGTATCCACTGAGTGTGTAGGCAACTACTGGGTCTGGAGGCAACCACTGGGTCTGGAGGCAACCACTGGGTGTTGGGGCAGTAACTGAGTTTGGAGGCAACCACTAGGTGTGGAGGCATCCACTGGTTGTTAAGAATCTACTGGGTGTGGATGCATCCACTGAGTGTGGCGGTAACCACTGAGTGTTGAAGCAACTACTGGGTGTGAATTCAACCACTGAGTGTGGCGGCGACCACTGGGCACCACTGTTGAGGTGTGGAGGCTGTAGTGGCAACTAGTGAGGCGGCAACCACTGGGTGTGGAGGCAACCACTGGTTGTGGAGGCAACCACTGGGAGTGGAGGCAACCACTCGGTGTGGGGGGCAATAACTGGGTGTAGTGGCAACCACTGAATGTGGAGGCAACCATTGGGTGTTGAAGAAACCCCTGGGTGTGGAGGCAACCACTGGTTGTTGAGGCAACAACTGGGTGTGGACGGAACAACTGGGTGGGGGAGGCAACAAATGGGTGTGGAGGCAAATAATGGGTGTGGAGGCAATAGCTAAGAGCGGAGGCAGCATCTGGGTGGAAAGGAAACCAATGAGTGGAGAGGAAACTAATGGCTGTGGAGGCAACACAGGGTGAGGCGGCAATCACTGGGTGTTGAGGCAACCACTGGGAGTAGAGGCAACCCCTGTGTGTGGCGGCAACCACTGGGAGTTGAGGCAACCACTGGGAATGGAGGCAACCACTGGGTGTGGGGCAACCACTGGGTGTGGAGGCAACCACTGGGTGTATGGGCAGTAACTGAGTGTGGAGGCAACCAATGGGTGTTAAGGCAACCACTGATTGTGGAGGCATCCACTGGGTGTGGAGGCATCCACTATGTGAGTGGATGCAACCACTGGGTGTGCCAGAAACCAATGGGTGTAGAGGCAACCACTGGGTGTTTAGGAAACCATTGTGAGTCGAGGCAACCACTGGGAATGGAAGCAACCACTGGGTGTGGAGGCAACCACTGGGTGTGGAGGCAACCACTGGGTATGGAGGCAACCATTGGGTGTTGGGGCAGTAACTAACGGTGGAGGCTACCAATGGGTGTTAAGGCAACCAATGGGTTTTAAGGCAACCAATGGGTGTTAAGGCAACCACTGGTTGTGTAGGCAACCACTGGATGTGGAGGTAACCACTGGTTGTTGAGGCAACCATTGGGTGTGGGGGCAATAACTGGGTGTCGCGGCAACCAATTAGTGTGGAGGCAACATTTGGGTGTGGCGGCAACCTCCGAGTGTGGAGGCAACCACTCGGTAAGGGGGCAATAACTTGGTCTGGCGGCAACCATTGGATGTGGAGGCAACCACTGGGTGTGGCGACAACCATTGGGAGGGGAGGCAACCCCTGGGTGTTGAGGGAACCACTGGGTGTAGCGGGAGTAACTGAGTGTGGAGGCAACCAATGGGTTTTAAGGCCATCACTGCGTGTGAAGGCAACCACTGTGTGTGGAGGCATCCATTATGTGACTGGGCATTAACTGGGTGTGCCAGAAACCAATGGGTGTGGAGGCAACCAATGGGTGTGAAGGCAACCACTGGATGTTGAGGAAACCACTGTGAGTCGAGGCAACCACTGGGTGTGGCGGCAACCACTGGGAGTGGAGGCAACCACTGGGAACGGAAACAACCACTGGGTGTGGAGGCAACCACTGGGTGTTGAGGAAACCACTGTGAGTCGAGGCAACCACTGGGAGTGGAGGCAACCACTGGGAACGGAAACAACCACTGGGAACGGAAACAACCACTGGGAACGGAAACAACCACTGGGTGTGGAGGCAACCACTGGGTGTGGAGGAAACTACTGGACCTTAAGTCAACCACTGGGTGTTGAGGGAACTATGTTTGTGAGGGAAGTAACTGGGTGTGGCGTCTACAACTGGGTTTGGAGGCAACCACTGGGTGTGGAGGCATCCACTATGTGAGGGGGGCAGTAACTGGATGACTACACTAGTTTGTGCTTTAGAAATCTTTGACGAATGTATTATAGGAACATCAACCGAAAACGATGTTACGTTGGAATGTGTATGGGGTAAACTACTGCAAAAAGGATGGTATTGTGTACACTACCTACTGTAGGATAGGTATACGGTCCATTACCACCTGTTAGGTGAGTAAGGGGTCCATACCACTTGTAGGATGGGTCTGAGCTTCGAGTTACTTCTGGGGTGTGAGTTTTCAGTTGCATATATGCCTGGAGACCGTTCAGGCTTGTTCGCATAAGATTAATAATTCTAACACGAATTTTCTCAATTTTTCGTACATTTCTTTTCACTGTTGGTGGTAATTCAAAAGTCAATTCTCCAAAATTCATTTTTGGAGAATTCAATTCATCAAGACTAGAAATAAAAATGAATTTTGGAGAATTGATTTTTGAATTACCATCAACAGTGAAAAGAAATGTACGAAAGATTGAGAAAATTCGTGTTAGAATTATTAATCTTACTTTTTCGGTCATATTTAATAATATATGTCTACAGGAAATACTGCTACCAAAATATACTAATATTAAAGCGCACGACCCAGCAGCAAGGAATCAAGCCTTCACGATAATATATCGCCAGGATCTGATTCGTGATCAGATATACAAGGCAGAGAATGAAATCAAAGACAACAAAACGCAACTACTTCATGCTACAAACGAGTGGAGAAATAGCAACATCGACGAAAGTATCCGTACCCGCATTGAACAACACCTCAACATCCTCACAGACCGACATCATCTCAGCACTGAAACAAGGATTATCAAGAAACTAACAACGTTATATGGAGGACCTATGGCAATTCCACGACCAAGAGATGGCTTCCTGAACCTTGCAGGAATTAACCTCACTGAGGACCAAGTCACTCTCCTAAATCTGGGCATAAACTCTCACGTTATGTCCAGACCGAGTGAGATGGCCCGGAAAGTGGAGTTGGAGATTCTGTTGGACGACATATTCGACCTCGAGACACAAAAGAAGGTCACTACCAAAGATACCTTACAAGCAGAACTTATTGCGGAAGGAGGAAAGAATCAAGGCAATTACAGAAGCACCATACTGTCCCCCGAGCTCAAAGCGGCAGCTAAAAGCCTTCGTGAGAACAAGGAGATAGTTGTCAGGAGAGGTGACAAGTTGCCAATATACGTCATTCTTAAAAAAGACGAATATCTGGCGAAAATGAACCTCATACTCTCTGACCAAACTAAATTCCAAAGGGTAACGAAGGACACTACAGCCGAATTGAAAGCAATGGTCAACAAACTAATCGAAACTGTGAACGCCAAGAAATCAGGACTCCACCTGCCAAAGATCATTGGGGAATATAAACCTGGATATGCGTATGGAAATGTCAAGACACACAAGCCTGGAAACCCACTTCGGTCAATCATTAGCCAGATACCCACACCCACGTACAGACTGGCAAAGCGACTCAACGGCCTGCTGACTCCTTATGTCCCTTGCGCCTTCAGCCTGAAGTCTCCAAAGGAATTTGTTGACTTACTGCGGGGCACACGGGCCACAGGGATAAGAGCCTCGTTGGACGTAGAATCACTGTTCACCAACGTACCTGTGGACGAGACAATCGGGATGATAGCCGACAGAGTGTATCGTGATCCAGCCTGTACTCCTCTGGTATACCAGAAAATATTCTAAGGAAACTACTCCAAGCTTGTACAAAAGAGGCACCCTTCTTGAGCCCGGATGGGCACATGTGTAAGCAAGAAGATGGGGTCGCCATGGGTTCTCCCCTAGGTGTCCTGTTTGCAAACTTCTACATGGGTACCATCGAGCAAAAAGTCTTAGTCGACATGTACTTGAAACCGGCCATATACTGCAGGTATGTTGACAACATTTTTACACAGGTACCTGATGTCAGACATCTGCAGGAGCTGAAGGAGGCATTTGAGCAGAGTTCCGTGCTGCGTTTCACTTATGAGATGGAAAAGGATGGGAAGCTGCCCTTTCTAGATGTAACAGTCATTGAAAAGAGCGGAGGTTTCCACACTGCAGTCTACACTAAGGAAACGAACATAGGAATGTTCCTAAATGCCAACAGCGACTGCCCAGACAGGTACAAGAGGAGTGTTGTTAACGCATGTGTCGACCGTGCTCTCAGCCACAGCTCAGAATGGAAGCAAGTCGACGAAGAACTCTGTAGGGTAAGGCAGGTCCTAGTCAACAACGGCTTCTCCAATGGTTTCGTCGAAGACATCATAAGAAGGAAAGTGAAACGCCATGCAACCTCTGAAGAGACAACTAACACAACACCTATACCCCCTATTAGACTATTTTACAGGAACTTCTTTTCCACAGCTCATAAAACGGAGGAAAGGGTCCTGAAAGATATTATTAATAGAAACGTTATCCCTACATACAAAAATCAGAGGATACAACTGACGATTTACTATAAAACCAGAAAAACGGCCAGCCTATTCATGAGAAACTCTCCAGACACAAAGCAGAACGCTTTAAAAGAGACCAACGTCGTCTATGCCTTCAAATGCCCTCTTGGGGACTGTAAGCTCCAAAAAACCCAGTATATAGGCAAGACAACAACATCTCTTTCTAGGCGTTTAACGATGCATAAGCAACAAGGCTCCATTAAGGAACATATAATCTCTTCCCACAACCAAACCATCGCCAGAGAAATCCTAGTAAACAACACAGAAATCAACGATAGATACAGCGATAGCAGGCGGCTTGACGTTTGCGAGGCACTACACATTAAGAAGTCAACACCAGCAATCAACAGCCAATTAATGCACAACTATATTCTACCCACCTCAAGACTCCGCTCCAATATAGAAGCATCAAGAAATATGGACCCATAGGCTTTCTACAATCACTTCCATTCAATACCCATTTTTTCGTGTTCTGTCTTGTGTTGATGAATTTAATACCCTATTAAAACCACCTCACCCCATCCACCTCACTAAAATGTAGATATAAACAAATCGGAGATGTGTAAGTTCTATTCAGTTGTGTATGTGTAAACTAAAGTCTTTGAAAATGTAATAAGTTTTACGAAACTCGCTCAAGTGTTGCGTCAGACTAGAAATAAAAATGAATTTTGGAGAATTGATTTTTGAATTACCACCAACAGTGAAAAGAAATGTACGAAAGATTGAGAAAATTCGTGTTAGAATTATTAATCTTACTTTTTCGGTCATATTTAATAATATATGTCTACAGGAAAGACTGCTACCAAAATATACTAATATTAAAGCGCACGACCCAGCAGCAAGGAATCAAGCCTTCACGATAAAATATCGCCAGGATCTGATTCGTGATCAGATATACAAGGCAGAGAATGAAATCACAGACAACAAAACGCAACTACTTCATGCTACAAACGTGTGGAGAAATAGCAACATCGACGAAAGTATCCGTACCCGCATTGAACAACACCTCGACATCCTCACAGACCGACATCACCTCAGCACTGAAACAAGGATTATCAAGAAACTAACAACGTTATATGGAGGACCTATGGCAACTCCACGACCAAGAGATGGCTTCCTGAACCTTGCAGGAATTAACCTCACTGAGGACCAAGTCACTCTCCTAAATCTGGGCATAAACTCTCACGTTATGTCCAGACCGAGTGAGATGGCCCGGAAAGTGGAGTTGGAGATTCTGTTGGACGACATATTCGACCTCGAGACACAAAAGAAGGTCACTACCAAAGATACCTTACAAGCAGAACTTATTGCGGAAGGAGGAAAGAATCGAGGCAATTACAGAAGCACCATACTGTCCCCCGAGCTTAAAGCGGCAGCTAAAAGCCTTCGTAAGAACAAGGAGATAGTTGTCAGAAGAGGTGACAAGTCGCCAATATACGTCATTCTTAAAAAAGACGAATATCTGGCGAAAATGAACCTCATACTCTCTGACCAAACTAAATTCCAAAGGGTAACGAAGGACACTACAGCCGAATTGAAAGCAAAGGTCAACAAACTGATCGATACTGTGAACACCAAGAAATCAGGACTCCACCTGCCAAAGATCATTGGGGAATATAAACCTGGATATGCGTATGGAAATGTCAAGACACACAAGCCTGGAAACCCACTTCGGCCAATCATTAGCCAGATACCTACACCCACGTACAGACTGGCGAAGCGACTCAACGGCCTGCTGACTCCTTATGTCCCTTGCGCCTTCAGCCTGAAGTCTCCAAAGGAATACAATGTCTCATTATATTTGTATATTCATATATTGTGTGTTCATGAGGCTTTTCTTTAATCTTTCATCCTTATTCTCTGACCGCTTAATCCTCTTTGACCATTCTAAGCTAAGCTATACCTGTTTTTGGTTAATTACACCTGACCAACCCTAGGGATGGGTTGGTCAGGTGTCGGCCTATATATCTTCCCCCCTTCTCCCTTCTCCTCAGTCAGTCTGGTGTTGACAAAGGCTTTAACAAAGCCGAAACGTTCACCTCATTTCATATTTCTCTGTGGATTTTCCGCATAAAATGATCAGTGTTTTGTGATCGTCAATTGCATATATATATATATATATATATATATATATATATATATATATATATATATATATATATATATATATATATATATATATATATATATATATATATATATATATATATATATATATATATATATATATATATATATATATATATATATATATATATATATATATATATATATATATATATATATATATATATATATATATATTAGTATATTTTGGTCTTTCCTGTAGACATATATTATAAAATATGACCGAAAAAGTAAGATTAATAATTCTAACACGAAATTTCTCAATATTTCTTATATTTCTTTTCACTGTTGATGGTAACTGAAAAATCAGTTCTCCTAAATTAATTTTCATTTCTAGTCTGACGGGACACTTGAACGCGTTTCGTAATAACTTATTACATTTTCAAAGACTTTAGTTTACACACACACAACTATAACTAAACAGAGTTTAAACAGCTTCGATTTTATACCTGCATTTGGGTGAGGTGATGTGTTACAACAGTTTTGGATGAGGTGAAAACAAACTTTTAACACAAGACAGAACACGAAACAATGGGTATAATATTTTGTAAGTTAAAGGGATGAATGGAAGTAACTGCAAAGGGCCTATTGGCCCATATTTCTTGATGCTTCTATATTGGTGCGGAGTCTTGAATTGGGTAGAATATAGTTGTGCATTAATTGGCTGTTGATTGCTGGTGTCGACTTCTTAATGTGTAGTGCCTTGCAGATATCAAGCCGCCTGCTATCGCTGTATCTATCGATGATTTTTGACGGATATTTACGTTAGTTTTAACTCAAATTTAAAAAAATTAACTCATACACAATGAGTAAGGCAACCATTGTGTGTGTGGGCAGTAACTGGGTGTTGCGGCAAACACTGTGTGTAGAGGCAACCACTGGGTATGGAGGCAACCACTCGGAGTGGGGGCAACCACTGGAAGTGGAGGCAACCACTGGGTGTGGAGGCAACCACTGGGTGTGGCGACAACCATTGGGTGTGGAGAGAACCACTGGGTGTGGGGGCAATAACTGGGTGTAGCGGCAACCACTGGGATTGGAGGCAATCACTGGGTGTGGAGGCAACCACTTGGTGTGGCGGCAACCACTGGGTGTGGAGGCAAACACTGGGTGTGGAGGCAATCACTGGGTGTGGAGGCAACCACTGGGGTGTTGCGGCAACCACGTGGTGTGGAGGCAACTACTGGGTGTGGAGGCAACCACTGGGGTGTGGCGACCACCACGTGGTGTGGAGGCAACCACTGGGTCTGGAGGTAACCACTGGGTGTGGAGGCAGCAACTTGGTGTGTAGGCAACCTCGGGATGTGGAGGCAACCACTGGGTGTGAATGCACCCACTGGGTGTGGGAGCAAATACTGGTGTTGGCGGAAACCACTGGGTGTGAAGGCAACCACTGGATGTGTAGGCAACCACTGGGTGTAGGGGCAGTAGCTGGGTGTGGAGGCAACCACTGAGTGTGGAGGCATCCACTGGCTGTGGAGGCAACCACAGGGTGAGGCGGCAATCACTGCGTGTTGAGGCAACCACTGGGTGTAGCGGCAACCACTGGGAGTGGAGGCAACCACTGGGTGTGGGGGCAACCACTGGGTGTTGGGGCAGTAACTGAATGTGGAGGCAACCAATAGGTGTTAAGGCAACTACTGGTTGTGGAGGCAACCACTGGGGTTGGAGGCATCCACTGAGTGTTGAGGAAACCACTGTGAATGGAGGCAACTACTGGGAATGGAGGCAACCACTGGGTGTTAGGCCAGTAATTGGGTATGGAGGCAAACACTGGGTGTGGAGGCAACCACTGGGTGTGGAGGCAACCATTGGGTGTTGGGGCAGTAACTGACTGTGGAGGCAACCACTGGGTGTGGAGACAACAACTGGGTGTGGAGGGAACCACTGGGTGGAAAGGCTACAACTGGGTGTGGATGCAACAAGTGGGTGTGGAGGCAAGAACTGGGTGTGGAGGCAACGACTGGATGTGGCGGCAACCACAGGTTGTGGCGGCAACCACTGGGAGTGGAGGCAACCACTGTGTGTGGAAGCAACCACTGGGAGTGGAGGCAACCACTGGGTGTGGCGGCCACCACTAGGTGTGGAGGTAACCATTGGGTGTGGAGGCAACCACTGGGTGTGGAGGACCCACTGGGTGTTAAGGCACCCAATGGGTTTTAACGAACCACTGGTTGTGTAGGCATCCACTGGGTGTGGAGGCAACCACTGGTTGTTAAGGCAACTACTGGGTGTGGAGGCAACCATTGGGTGTGGGGGCGATAACTGGGTGTTACCTTGAGGGGCTTCCGGGGCTTAGTGTCCCCGCGGCCCGGTCGTCGACCAGGCCTCCTGGTTGCTGGACTGATCAACCAGGCTGTTAGACGCGGCTGCTCGCAGCCTGACGTATGAGTCACAGCCTGGTTGATCAGGTATCAGGTGTAGCAGCAACCACTGTGTGTGGAGGAAACCACTGGGGTATGGAGGCAACCACTGGGTGTGGAGGCAACCACTGGGTGCGCGACAACCATTGGGTGTGGAGGCAACCTCTGGGTGTGGAGGCAACCAATGGGTGTGGAGGCAACCACTGGGTGTTGTGGCAACCACTGGGAGTGGATGCAACCACTGGGTGTGGAGGTAACCACTAGGTATGGAGGCAATCAATGGCTGTGGGGGCAATCACTGGGTGTGGGGGCAGTAACTGGGTGTGGCAGCAACCACTCAGTGTGGAGGCAAGTACTGAGTGTGGAGGGAACTAATGGGTCTTGAGGCAACAACTGGCTGTTTAGGCAACAGCTCGGTGGAGAGGGAACAAATGGGTGTGGAGACAACCATTGGGTGTGGAGGCAACCTCTGGGTGTAGTGGCAGTTACTGGGTGTGGAGGAAACCATTGGGTCTGGAGGCAACCACTGGGTGTTACGGCAACCACTGGGTGTGGAGGCAACTACTGGGGCTTAAGTCATCCACTGGGTGTTGAGACAACTATGGGTGTGAGGGCAGTAACTGGGTGTGGCGGCTAAAACTGGGTGTGGATGCATCCGCTATGTGAGGGGGCAGTAACTGGGTGTGGTAGCAACCAATAGGTGTGGAGGCAACCACTGGGTGTGGAGGCAACCACTGAATGTTGAGGCAACCACTGGGTGTGGATGCAACCACTGGGTGTGGTGGCAACCACAGAGTTTAGCGGAAGTAACTGTGTGTGGCGGCTAAAACTGGGTGTGGAGGAATCCGCTATGTGAGGGGGCAGTAACTGGGTGTGGTAGCAACCAATAGGTGTGGAGGCACCCACTGGGTGTGGAGGCATCCGCTATGTGAGGGGGCAGTACCTGGGTGTAGCGGCAACCACATGGTATGGAGGCAACCACTGGGTATGGAGGCAACCACTGGGTGAGGCGGCAACCACTGGGTGTTGGGGGAAATAACTGGGTGTAGCGGCAACCACTGGGAGTGGAGGCAACCACTGGGTGTTGAGGCAACCACTGGGTGTAGGGGCATTAACTGGGTGTAGCGGCAACCACTGGGAGTGGAGGCAACCACTGGGTGTGGAGGCAACCACTAGGTGTGGCGGCAACCACTGGGTGTGGAGGCAACTACTGGGTGTGGAGGCCACTGGGTGTGGAGGCAACAACTGGGGTGTGGCGGCAACCACATGGTATGGAGGCAACCACTGGGTGTGGAGGCAACCACTGGGTGTGGAGGCAACCACTGGGTGTGGGGGCAACCACTGGGTGTGGAGGCAACCACTGGGTGTGGAGGCAACCACTGGGTGTGGATGCAACCTCTGTTTTTTCAGGCATCAAGTGGGTGTGAACGCAACCACTGGGTGTAGAAGCAAATACTGGTGTTGGCGCAACCACTGGGTGTGAAGACAACCATTGGGTGAAGGGGCAGTAACTGGGTGTGGAGGAAAGCATTGGGTGTGGAGGTAACTACCGGACCTTAAATCAACCACTGGGTGTTGAGGAAACTATGGGTGTGAGGGGAGTAACTGGGTGTGGAGGCAACCACTGAATGTTGAGGCAGCCACTGGGTGTGGAGGCAACCACTGAATGTTGAGGCAGCCACTGAGTGGGGAGGCAGCCACTGGGTGGGGAGGCAGTCACTGGGTGTGAAGGCAACCACTAGGTTCAGAGGCAACCACTGGGTGTGGCGGCAACCACTGGGGTGTGGCGACAACCACTGGGAGTGGAGGCAACCACTGGGTGTGGCGGCAACCACTGGATGTGGCGGCAACCACTGGGTGTGGCGGCAACCACTGGATGTGGCGGCAACCACTGGATGTGGCGGCAACCACTGGATGTGGCGGCAACCACTGGATGTGGCGGCAACCACTGGGTGTGGCGGCAACCACTGTGTGTGGCGGCAACCACTGGATGTGGCGGCAACCACTGGGTGTGGCGGCAACCACTGGGTGTGGCGGCAACCACTGGATGTGGCGGCAACCACTGGATGTGGCGGCAACCACTGGGTGTGGCGGCAACCACTGGGTGTGGCGGCAACCACTGGATGTGGAGGCAACCACTGGGAGTGGATGCAACCACTGGATGTGGAGGCAACCACTGGGTGTGCAACCCGCTCTCACACAAGACAGCACATATGTGACTTATTGCTTATAGTCAATATTTTGCTTTTGCATTAGTACATATGTGGTATATTCCCAGTTATATTTTTATCAAGGCCGAACCTCTTCTCTACGTACCTATTTACGTCTCACAGTACCCGTCCATCTGTGGAGGCGGTCGCCTAGGGGCTATGGCTGACCAACCACGTGGTAATCGACATACAATAGAATGTGTAGAAAATGGGGGAAACAGCGGCTCACCTTGGGCTGAAGTCTTCTCCCAGGGTTGCTGAAGCAATACGACGGCTTCCGGGGGCGAGGATGGGCGAGGTCCAATAATAGCTGGCCAATATGGGGTACTGGATAACCACAGTCCAGGGGGCGGTGCTTACAGGTCCGTTCTCGGTCAGGTGCGGTTCTCGTCTGCCCTCCTTCTCGCCTCCAGGCATGCGCGCGGGTGATGCGCAGACGCACGGTGACGAGCTGCCGCCCACCAATCAGGAGCGGCTAATCTAAAAAGTTACCCTGGCGGGTATTTTGAATATGGTTCCCTCCACACTCCCCCCGTCTCTATAAAGTAAGGGGTGTATTAGAAATTAATATAACTTAAACTGTTCCTTTCGTGGATGCACCCACCACTGGCTTCAATTGAGGAGTGGAATGGTGTGTATAGTAATGGAATGGAATGTCTGGTTTTAATTAAAAAAGAATATTGTCATTGGTTTATTATTTACACATGCACGATTCACTTTTTATTAAGTATAAAATTATATATTCTATTGGCATGCAAGTACTTCCTTGCATCCTTTTTATTTGTATTAAATTAAATATTATTTTCATTTTCAATTTTCTATATTTATAATATTATTTATATTCACATTTTGTACAATCACACTACACTACACTACACTTTATAAATTTTTTTTTCTTTCTTCTTTCTTTTATTGTTTCCTTTGCACAGGATTGAACAGCCTCCGACCGTTCTCGGTAGTAATTTCGGCCAGGAGTTTGATGTCCACGTTTAGCCATTTTGCAATACATATCCCCACGTCCCCGACGTATGCGGGTGATGTAAGCGGGTTTGGTCCTGCCTTGGTGGTCACAGGTGCCGCTGACTCCAGGAGTCATCGCTCTTTTGGTATGGCCATGAACACATCTATTTGCTGGATCATTGGCTGTTCCCCGACATACAGACTGAAATAGGTATTTGGGAAAAACTTGAGCCATTTTCGAACTGTCTCTCCCGACCCTGTAAAACCTCGCAAATGCATAGGTTGAGCGGATCCGTAGAATTCCTGCAGATCGGTGAGTGCTGTATAGAAAATTAAGTCCGATGTATCTCCTCTTTGGGAGCGTAGGGAGATGACTAGAGGTCGCTTCACCGAGGCATATTGGAGAACGTGTCGGAAAACGTCTCTTTGTATTTTCCTTTCTCCCCGGAGTGCTGTCTCCCAATCAAACCCAAATGGTCCCAGAGGTACAATTGGCAGTACATTCATATATATCTTTAGAGTTTTAAGGGATATTGCATCTGCACAGCCTGGGTAGAGTCCCAATGACATTACCCACCCCGGAGGAGTCTCACAGCTCCTAGGGTATTTCATCGGGTTCATATAAGCCATGACCCCGCCCGCCAAACCGTGGGTTGGTGTTGGATTTAGCTCTTTGATTTGCAGGTTAATTTTCCGCATAGCATAAATCGGGAGGAGAGTGTCCTCACCGGAAATTAAGTCTCCCTTAGTCAGGGTATCGTTCACCCTGAAGTGACTGTCAAAAAAAAAGAGATGCTCAAGGTGGAAGGAGCCAAAAATACACTGGTGGGGTTATGTAGGCCTGTATAATCTTGGTGACACGTTGCTAAATGCGTGTCCACGCTTGAGGTAGGATTAGAAAGAGACCTTGTGTCTCCGGTCTGGTGATGTCTTGCTAGACTTATATTCTCGCTAGAGAAGTAATAAGATGGAACGAATTCGTCCATGGCCTTCGGGGGTTCTAGTGTCTCCCCTCCAGGACGTTCCACCCGACTCAACTGGAGTTGAGTATCCAAATACTTCATTATTAACCCCCACTTTGAGATGATAGGTACACCTCGGATCTTTCCTGGTTCCTTTGATTCCCGTTGGGTTTCTGACTCGTAGTCAGAGTAATCAGATGATGACTCCTTGGTAGCCATCGTTGTGTTCGGATGTGGTGCTGCAATAAATAGTGACTTAACAGTAAGAAAGGCATGTATTGAAATTATTCCCTACGTGCGTTCTTACACCATGGACATATATACTCCGGCTGAGAACGTACATTCGCCACGGTTGCTCCCACACAGCTCCCATGAAACCATTCCGCATGCCCATCACATTGCACCATAAATTTTCTGTCATATGGTTCCCAACATATGCAGTAAAATTCTTGAAAAGGTAATGATGTCGCTTCTGGAACTTGTGTCATGTGCTGCTTGAATTGAACCACCCAGTTTGGACGTACACGGTCCTTACACTTCTTTAGTCTATCATGATTTATTGTAATGAGGTCACGTTGAAGTTTAACTCTAAATAAACAGGATGAAAATTTATGTATGATGATTCCTGGTCCTTTCCATTGTGGCGATAATTTCTTACACTGCCCTTTTGTCTGTGCTGTATCCAGTAGATAAACCAGATCGCCCTTTTCATAGGTCTGTAATCGTGCCCTCAGATCGTAATCCTTCTTCAT